TGCTGGCCGGTGGAGTAAGGAAGCTTGCTTCGGCAGGTCGCAAGTCCGATGTGTGCGCTGCCGTCATAAGAGCTGGCAGAGTCGACCAACGGCAAAATCGACGACTCGGAAGGGAAAGATATGTCTCGGTGGTGGGTACCAGCCAAGGATTACGAGATCGTTTTTTTAATAAATGAGGCTAAGATGCAGAGTAAATGAGGCTAAGATCATATGACTAAGAGACACCGTTTAGAGAAGCCGATAGGCAGATTTTATTAATTGAAAATCAAAAGTTGCATTATCCCATTACATATTTCATATATATATATATATATATATATATATATATATATATATATATATATAGTATACTAAAATCCTATACAATAGTGAAAGTAAATAAATCTTATAGATTCAACTACACACTATTCACTATATACATTTAAGTCCTCATCGTTTCCTCCTTGGACAACTCCCCCCCCCCCCCCCCCCGGGCAAGCTGGTGCGTATATGTCGAGACGACCCAGCTTGGCCTATAACTGCTGAAATTAACTGGCAGCGACTTTGTAAACATGTCAGCGAGTTGGTTAGATGAAACATGAAGTATCTTAATCACACCATCTAAAATCCTATCCCTAATAACATGACAAACAATCTCTATATGTTTAGTGCGCTCATGATTAACTAGGTTATCGGCAAGCTTAATAGTAGACGTGCTATCACAGAATATAGGATTAGGCGAAGTTAGACAGATTTGCAGATCATTCAAAACATATATAAGCCACATTAATTCACAAGTTAAGCTAGCCATCACTCTATATTCAGCTTCAGCTGAGGAGTGGGAAACAGTTTTCTATTTCTTTGATCTCCAACTAATCAATGAATTAGCTAGTAAGACACAAAATCATGTGGTGGATCTACGTGTGTCTAGGCAGCTAGCCCAGTCACTATCACATAAAGCTTTTAATTTAAGTTATGATTCAGAAGAAGAGTCCTTGACCTGCAGTGCTTTTTATGTAACGTAAACTCGTTCGGCAGCCTGCATATGTAAGTCAGTAGGGTTGTGAGTATACTGACTTAATTGATGAACATAATAGGCTAGATCAGGTCGGGTATTACAAAGATATAAAAACATCCCTACTAGTCTCTTATGCACAGAAGGGTCGGGGAGAATATTACCAGAAGAAGCAGGAAGCTTGGTACTTGGAACAGAAGGAGAATCACAAGGTTCTGCACTAAGATAACCATAACCTGTTAGTAAATCCAAGGCAAATTTGCGTTGGTATAACAGTATGCCCTTAGTAGACCTAGCAATCTCAAGACCAAGAAAGAATTTCAATTCTCCTAGGTCCTTAATTGTGAAAGTCTGATCTAGTTGCTGTTTAAGATCAGTAATAGCCTTAAGATCATTTCCTGCAAGAATTCGATCGTCAACATAAACAAGGGGAATGGTAAAAGATTGCTCATGGTTGCGTACAAACATCGAGTAATCTGCTTTGGATTGTTTGTACCCAACCGAATTTAAAAATTTGGAAAGCTTAATGTTTCATTGACGACTTGCTTGTTTTAAACCATATATTGATTTGTTAAGTCGGCAAACTGGATTCTTAAAACCAGGAGGTACAACTAATCCCGGAGGAATCTTCATGTAGACCTCTTGGTCGCCATGTAAAAAAACAGTATTGACATCAAGTTGATGTGAATATCAATTATTTATGTTAACTAATGAAAGAACAAGTCTAACAGTAGTATGTTTGACGACTGGTGCAAATGTTTCTAAGTAATCTAAGCCATGAGTTTGAGTGTATCCCTTTGCTACTAGGCAAGATTTAAAACGTTCGATGTCACCATTTGCAAGAAACTTGACTTTAAAAATCCACATATTTCCCATGGCAATCTTACCAATAGGCAGTCAACAATAGTCCAAGTATTAGTTTTATCTACAGAATCTAGCTCAGAATTACAAGCATCTGACCACCTAGGATCCTTAATGGCTTCCTTATACGATCTAGGTTTTAGAACAGACTAGTTAGTTAATACTCCGTTTAATAAACGTATATGTACCCGTACATACTTTATTCGTTTAAAACTTCTGTACTCGTATTATTGTCAAGCCGTTTCATTTTCCCCCATTCATTTCATGGCTCCCATACAAAACACGTATAATACCCGTATAACACGTTTAATATCCGTATTTAATTAATTATATTGTTAAATTTACTATTATTTTTATATTTTTAAAATAATTAAATTTGATATATTATGACTATTAACGTATTATTAAACGTAACATAGGTTAAAGACGAAGTAAAATACCCGTACATATTTTATACGTAACTTTCCCGTACCGTATTTTACTAACTATGATATGCTTTATATTCTGCACTTAGATTTTCAAAAGTCATGACTTTAGATAAAGGAAATGAGACATCAGGACAGTTAATAAAACAAACATAATCATCTAATTTCTTAGAACGAACTTTGATACGAGGAGGCTTAGCATAAGGAGGTGGTTCAGTAGCTTGAATAACATCAATCAGATCTAGAGGTTCCTCAGAAAGGGGCAAAGTAGAAATTGGCTCAATGCTAGAAGAAGGAGTAGATAAACTATCATGAACTATTGTGTCCTGAACTTGAATACATGGAAAGCAAAAATCAAATTTAGGTTTGGACATAGAATCAGCAAGAGGGAAAACATGTTCATGAAATACAGTATCTCTTGAGTAAAAAATGTTGTGAGAGACAAGGTTATAAAGCCGATGACCTTTAACAGAATTGAGAAATCCAAAAAACACACAGGGTCAGCCCTAGGAGCAAACTTGGGTCTATTATGTTGTAGAGTTGAAGCATAGACGAGACATCCAAAGACCTTGAATTCGGAATATGAAGGTTTACTCTTAAAAAGTAATTCATATGGACACAGATTTTGTAACAGAGAAGGCAAACGATTGATAAAAAAACAGAATGTAATATGGCAAAACCCCAAAATGAGATTGGCAAAGATGCTTGAAATATGAGAGCACGAGCAACAGCCAGTATATGTTAGTGTTTCCTCTCAACACGACCATTTTTTTAGAGGAAGCCACATAAGTAGTTTGATGAAGAATACCAAAAGAGTTGTAAAATGATGGTATGTTAAATTCTTGGCCGTTACCGGTCCTAATGGTTTTTATCTTTGAAGAAAATTGAGTTTGAACAAAACTGGCAGATCTAACAAAATTTGCATAGCTTCACTTTTGGCCTTCATAAGATAAACCCAAGTATGTCATGAAAAATCATCACACAAGTAAGAAAATAACAGAATCCATCAACAGTAGGAACCTGATATGGTCCCCATATGCCGATATGAAGTAATTCAAAAGGAATATGAGCATGAGATGTACTTGGGAAAAAGGGAAGACACCTTTTTTAGCTAAATGACATACAGTACAAGGCGTTTTATTCTTACTAACAGAAGTTTTAACAGCTTTATCTAAGATATGAGATAGTGGAATGGCAGTATGATCAAGTATAAAGTGCTATATATCGAAGGGAACAAAGACAGAATGTAAACAAACATTACATGAAGATGTTTGTGATACGGAGGAAGACATGTTGAGATGATATAAGTCGGATTCTTGTTTAACTGTACCAATCATCTCGTGGGACGAAAGATCCTGAATTAAATAAGAATCGGCAGTAAATCGTCACATGACTAAGCCAAATCCAGCCACTCATTCCAATTCTAATATGATGGTCCATATTAATCTCATTTAGTGAAGGGTAATGTAGTTATTACATGTTTATTTATTTATATATTAAAACACAATAAAAATTAGGCCCACTTCACCCCTGTCCGCTCTCGCCCCGCCCGGCGACGTCCGGCTTCAGCGTCTTCCCCCTTGGGTTTCCGACGGCTGAGAAATTTTCCCCATTTCCCCACGTGGGGAATTTGTCCATGCAACCACGAGAGAGAAAGAGAGAGAGAGATGATTTTTCGACGGCAAATTTTTTTCGATGTCGGTGATGGAAATTTTCCGACGATGGGAATTTTCCGATGGCAACGACAACTTTGTGATGTTTGTCGGACTATTTTGTAATGTTTGTAAGTCTGTATTGTGATGTTTGTCGGACTATTTTGTGATGTTTGTATGTTTGTATTGTAATGTTTGTGTAGATTCTGTTTGTATTGTTCATTATAGTTTGTAATGTTTATATGACTAATTTGTATATATTGTAATTTGTAATGTTTGTTTGTCTAGTTTGTATACTTTATATTATGTTTTGTATACTTTGCATTTATTGATTTGTAATAAAAGTTTACTAATTTGTATTGTAAGTAGTGGCATTTTGTATTGTTAGTATGCTTTATAATGTTTGTCGATTTGTTTTGTAATATTTGTAAGTTTTGTTATTTTTGTAATGTTTGTTGGTCTATTTTGTAAAGTTTGTTATTTTTGTCCACCATGTTTGTCATTTTTGTCAATTATGTTTGTAATATTTTTTATGTCCAAAAAAACCTGTTTGACTTTTGGAAGCAACTCATCTATATAGGGATGGAGCCTCCAAAGTCAACCCGGGTGTTTTTTCATTTTGTATGGTTTGCTGATCTAGTTTATCATTTTTGTCAACCATGTTTGTAATGTTTATATGTCTAAAAAACAACCGGGTTGACTTTGGGACGAAACCCCTCTATAAAGGGAGGAAACCTCCAAATTCAACTCGATTGTTTTTTCATTATTTATGGTTTATATTGTTTGTTGGTCTAGTTAGTATTGTTTGAATAGTTCGCATATTTTGTATTGTTTATAAATTTTTTTATATGTTTTGTCCCTCTAATATGTATTATTTGTATGTTTGTACTGTTTGTAAGTCCGGTTTGTGTAATTCGTAATTTTTCATAATACCCAAAATACCCCTTTCACTAATTAAAAATCCCTTCCTAATTTTTAACCGTTAGATTCGTGTGTCCAAATCTAAGAGTTAGGAGTAGTTTAGTCAAGTAACTAATGACCCCCTGGACATTGAATCCGTTTCATATGATGGGAGTTGCCGGTGTATTGGGCGCAGCTCTGTTATGCACTATTCGTGGTGCTACTGTAGAAAATACTTTATTTGAAGATGGTGATAGTGCAAATACATTCCATGCGTTTAACCCAACCCAAGCCGAAGAAACGTATTCAATGGTCACCGCTAACCGCTTTTGGTCCTTCCAAGCCGTACATACGACTTTTCACATAATTCTATATGTATCTATGAGATCGAGTATGAAATTCTGTTTACTCACTTTAAATTGAATATCTGTTTCCCTCTTTTTCCTACTAGGATTGGAAATCCTGTATTTTACATATCCATACGATGGAGATGGGATCCGGCCTCAAGTAAATGAGCCCGGTAGCTAGGCTTAATCTACACATAATATAATACACCGAAGGGAAAAACGGGAGCCCCATTTCAAATTTCCTGCAACGAGAGTGAAAGTAGGAAGGACATTTTGGTCTTCACAATTACTTTTATTTATTTATTAAAAAGACACGTACTGGGATTCGAACCATGACCATTTTAAAGAAAAGCAAGGATCATAACCAATCACACTAAGCACATTTGTTGTATCTTTTTAAATTAAAAACATATAATAGCAGGGAGGATAAAACCCTTCCCCCATTTCAAATTCCCTGCTCCAGGAGCGTTTGTAGGAAGGGTAGAATAGGGAGTGTCAATTTTTTTCTCTTTCCTCTGTGGAACGGGCCAACTTACCATACACATGCGGATTTAAACGGGCCTACGAGTGTCAGTTTTTTTCTTTAAGCCCTTTTATTTCTCACTGGTGATAAAATTTTATGAAAAGGCAAAAACATACTCATTTTTATTGCTAAAAATAAAAAATTTAACAATAAACTAATGCATGGTATCTAATGGGCTAACCGCTAACCATAAAATAAAAGAGTTGAATGGGTCTGACCTACACGGGATTTGGCCATCAAGTAAAACAAATGAACATCATTGGTTTGTCATTCTAAAACAATCTATTTTCTCTGGCATAATATATATTATGCTATTATTTTATATCTTAGTGGCTAAAATATAATGTATTTTAAAGTTATTCAATGGTTCAACCTCAACCAAACCAATTAGTCCAATTTTTATCATTTCAAATAGGAATGGCAATGGGGCAGGTCCGTGGCGGGTATCTCGATACCCATATCCGCCCCATGGCAGGTCGGGTAAGTTATCACGGGGCGCGGGTAGGGGCAGGTCGACCCGTTGGGTATGTAATTATTCGAAAAACATTAGAAACGTTCGTTATTTTCATTAAAAGACCAAGAAAGAAACCACAATATGATAGAATGTAGTTAAATTATTGAAGAAATTGAGGTTTTCACTTATTTACAACTTTATTATAGCTAAAATATAATGTAATAAGAAGAAAATCCTAACTAATTTGACAAAGATTATATGTAATATAGGCAAGAAAGGGTCGAGAATGGGGCGGGTCAGGGCAGGTCGGGTCGATGAGAGGTACCCATGCCCGTCCCGCCCCGCCTACGGGGCGGGTTTGACCTGCTCCAAAACAGGTCAAACAGGTCGGGTAAATCGGGTCAGGTCGAAATTGCCATCCCTAATTTCAAATATATATTATATAATTATTTGATATCATAATGATCAAATTATAGTGTATTTTATAGGGAATCGTTTGGTATTTGTTAGTAAACAACTAAACAGAACGATCTATTTGGTTATTTTAAACATTAAAACTATCCTAAACATTTTCAGTTCCTTTTGAATTTTTATGGTTTTATTCTCGAATAAGTGATGTGCAAATGGCGAATTGCAGTCATCTCTTTTCTTTCACTATTTTTTATTTTCAAATAGAAAGTTTAAAAGTAAAGAATAATTAGAATTTGGCATAGGTCGGTCAAACATGCTGAATTTCAAGTTTTGGCCCGTTTTGATCAAGTCTAATTTATAATTACATGGTTCCCTGATACCCGATAAAAATCTCAATCCAAACCAGTTTGCCAGGTGAGTCTGTGTTTACCACCATTTTCTAGGATACGACAACGGCGGTTCCTATCCCAAATTGTGTTATTCGTTCTTGATTTCCTTAGATTTTATCATGGCCTAACAAAAACCAGAAAGCACAATGACGACAAGATGAAAGTTTTATAAAGCAAATTAATCGACCAACGGGCCGAGTAAAAGCTAGCAACGATTGTGAGATGCTCATTTCCCGAAAACCGACGGGATATGCGATTTTTTATTCGATTTTTTGGAATTCGGTTTCTATAAAACTTACTCCACCGCATCATATTACCAGAAACAATATTGTTTCACAAGGTAACATGTACTTGATTTTGGTTCATAAGGCCGATTTTTTTATTCATTGCATCATTCATATCTCTTTCCTGTTAAAATTCACTATTTTTATCACGAATTTCCAAAAAAAAAACTATAAAACAATAAGCTATACACCCCATTATATTATCAAATTTCGTACCTCACCTTTCTCCGGCCAACTGGCCGGGGGCCACACTAGTTTCCTTTGTTATTAAGTAGTCGTGTGAATTACATGATGAGGACCAAAGCTGTACTTTTCTCCCGTCGGTCTGCTTCTTAATTCTCAAGAGTGTTTTTGGGTGGAAAGGGGGTGAAGATAGGATGACGACACAAGGTGTGGATGAATGATAACTAGGTTAGATTGGGTACAGGTTGAAGATCGGACGATCGGTGAAATTCACATGATATCCAGATATAGGTTGGTTTACGGTTTAGAGCACGTTGCTTTGTATCTTTCAGTTGGTTTTTAGATTGGAAGTTTGGTATCGGTATTTGGGATATAACGAATATCGTACCGTATTTGTTTATATTTGGTATTACCGATACACGTATTAGTTTTTGGGATTGGATTGAGATTCAATTTCAATTGTTATTCGGTAGTAGGGATTACATTATTGGGATCAGTATATACCGAAATACCGAACAATACCGAAATATAAGATAGTGTGTATTTTCTCCTCTCAAGTAGACTATCTCATTGACTACTACACGACCCTCAACCACGAATCTCTTGTTATTTTAATAACACCAACAAGAAAACTCTAGTATTAGTCTTCTCTCATCCTCCAATTCGTTAAAATAAAGATTACCAATTACAAAAACTTGAGATATCACATTCCTCCAGTCTCCTTATCCATATCCTAGCTCCAGGCAAACTTAAGACTTTTTGCTTAATCTCTTTGTCCTATATTAAACAATTAAATCTAATTTATATATTTAATTATTAATTGCAAAGGTGATTAATTTCGTATTCGATAATACCGATTGGGATACCGAAGTACCAATTGGAATACCGAAATATCTAGGGATTGGGATACCGAAATTATTGAAGGATTGAGATTGAGATTGATTTTAGAGTGTAATTTGATTTTCAGGAGTTTGTTATTTGATATTGGGATACCGATACCGTACCGATTCCCACTGGTTCCTGTCATAAACTCTATAAGGATCGATATATACCACGCTTTTCACGGTTCATATTGATACTGAAAATCAGAATCAAACGAGCTATGTTCCACACGAGATTTCTGTTCTCATTGTTGAGCTCACTTTTCTCCTAGATGGATCATCCATCTTAATAAAAAAAGAGAAAGCACTAGCCACTAGGTAATCCCTGAGTCCCGTCCTTGTGTCCAACTAACGTAGGGTGTTGTCTTCCTTATCTCACCCGCTGCTCAACACTACCCATCTCGCCTCCTCCCAAACGACGACGACGGCCCCATGATTCTGTTCGTAAACTTGTCTATCCTGGGACAAATGTCAGAACAAACCCACTTCCACGCCTGGTTTCTACTAGAGTTTATTTGCTGATGTTGTGTATGAGCCTTTTGTTAATACATTAGATGACATGGTGCGGAGCATCAACCCGGACATTCGGAGGATTTACACAAATGTTACGAGTCTTGGTGACCTCAAGGACTTGTGCTACCATGCGGAACTTGAGGACTTCCACTCCAATGATTTGAGGGTGACCCTTTATTTTGACAATGGGGATGGATGGTTAATTAGAACTTAGAAGAATGGGAATACGATTCCATATTCTATCAAGTCAGGGCAAGGAAGGTTTGCTCCTCAATCTCCCCATCTAGTGCTCGAGGCCGAGGAGGCCTTTTCCTGATCGGACTTTTAGGCCAACAGAACCAAAAGTTCACCTACGACCTAGATGAGATGCGTTTGTACGTAGAGAAAGATCCTGATTGTGCTGCCGTAGCGATGTAATTAATAATACCACTAGCTAATTTATGAAGTTAATTAATGTCATCACATAATCATAGAAATATTATTATTCTTATGGTTAAATTAAAATTTTCAATAAGCATAGGCTAACAAAGACAAGATACTTTGCAGCCTCTCAACAATCACAGCCATTAAATCAGTTTAAACACTTAAAACTATCGAAAAGATCAAAATGAACCTACAAATACACTATATATCAAGGTTCGAGAAAGCATTAGGTGCTAGGCAGATGTTGTGGTAGTGCCTAGCACACGCTGAAGCGTTCTAACGAAAATAACAATATTCAATAGTAATGACAATTTTATTTCATTTTTTTGTTGAATTCAATTTCAAATTATTAATAACTTAAAAAACACTTATCAACAACAAGCAAAATATATAATAATTTTTTAAGTTTATAGAAGTCGTGGGTTGTAGATGGTCTGTAGCCAACAATGGTGAAGAGCATAACAAAGGATCGAGTCGAATAAGAGTAGCTAGATATGACATAGTTTTGGAAAGATAGGCTACAAACTATTTTAATCATTGTTTGCCATCATTTTGGAAAGATAAGCCAAGACGTATAGTTTTTTTTTTAATTAATCATTGGATAAATTGCAAGGTTGGTCACTGAAAGTATTAAAAAATTCATGTTTGATCACCAAAAGTATTTTATTTTATTCGTAGTCAATAAAAGTGGTTAAACATGTCACGTATCACTCTTCGTTAGTCTCCGTTAACACCGTCTGTATTTTGTTGACGTGGCTAATAAAAATGCTGATTCGCTCATTTTTAACCTGCCACGTCAGACCCTCCGCATAACCCAACCTAATAATAATCCTAACCCAACCCAACTTGACCCCACCCGACCACCCACCACATCCGCCGCCTTCCACCATCGTGGCCTTGACGCCGCTCTCCTCCTCCTCCTCTGCGATATGTTGAATATGGATTTTGGGCTTAGATCCCACTATAAAAAAATCCCTAATCCAAACCACCCCTATGTCTCCAAACCTAAATTGAC